AAAATGTATGTAAGAGAATAACATTTAATTCATTCGCATTAGTAACAGTAATTTTTTTTTGGTATTTACCTGATTGTTGTCTTAAATGCTATATTACATCTTCTGAAATGTTCAGGGTTTTCTTGTTTGTTTATTTGTGATTTGTTACAATATTTAGAAGAAATGGATAAAATAGGGGTAAAACTGAAAATATAAACTATATGATTAAAGCTTTTTTTTTTTTTACTCTTATTATCTGCAAATGAAAAGTATTGAAAATTAGCAATATCCAAAATAACAGTGCAGAATATTCACTTGTGAAATTGTGAAAGATCTTGGGTCCATACAAATCTAGGTATATTTATAGATCATTTTGACCACTGTGCCTATTTTGGTCACTCAAATGCAAGGCTGCACATTAAGGTCGTAATCTTATAAACATTTAGATGTGTTAAAATTTAAATGTTTGTACTTTTATATAGCCCAATTGAGCTTCTCATTATCTGTAAGATTGTAAAATACTTAGTGGTTGAAGGATTGAAGGGGTTGTTAAGAATTATAAACTTCATTTTAAAAAATTGCTTAATTTTGATGACCAAATGTAGTTATTCCTCAGTGAACACAAATAGGAAATTGAAAAATGAAAATCAGTCTTGTGTGGCTCAGAAATTATCGTACTTTATAAAAGGATGATATAGGAAATCTATTTCACAATCTAAAATGAGCGTTTTTGTTTAGTAATAATGAAACAGTATTTTAAGCTCTTAATTCCCTCTAAATATACTTTTATCATGGCTGTACCATTTTACTGTTTGTTTATTGCAACCATATTTCTTTCACACCCAGTGCTGTTAAAAGTCAGAACTAGATACATGATATCATTACTGTGATTAACAGTCAATAGAATTCCTAATTCCTTTGGTCCTTTATGTTGAACAGTTCAGGCCGTGGTACTTGCCTTGATAATGAGCCTCCCAAGCGTGACTTTCTTTATCCAGCTGTGGCCCCAGGTCAGGTGTATGATGCTGATGAACAGTGTCGCTTCCAGTATGGAGCAACATCCCGCCAATGTAAATATGGGGTAAGAAGTCTTAATCCTTATGCTGAGTGTTCTGCTTAGTCATTTGTATATATTCCTTCATAACAGACATGTTTAGATGGAGTAGTGGGTTACAGATTTCCTACAGTATTCTGTCTGGTGCCGCCATGTGTGAGCGAAGGGTTGATTTTTTATCTTTATGCTGCATCTTTTGCTCGAGTCATTTGTCTGTACGGTACTCCAAAATGTGTGGGTAATAAGTTGGAGAAGCATTTTTTTTAATGTTAGGAGGAAAAAGGAGCCCATAACACTTGATCCTGCTCCTTCTAAACTGAGCACTGATTTCAGTTAAATGAGATCAGATTCATCTTGTATTAATCTTGAAATGTGAAATCCATAAATCTGTTGTGTTGGCTTTAACTTCTCAATTTAAAGCTACATTTTGAAATTTCTTTTCTACTTGTATTGATTTGCCAGGTCTGTTTGTTTTACTTTTTTTTCTGGCATTGAAGTTACTGTTTTTCACATTATTCAGATCTATTACTGAAAAGAATAATTGGGTATGGGAAGAGAGAAACATGATAGTAAATAGCTGAAAAGAATACTGAAGAGCTGAGTACTAGAAAATTTTGGTTGCTAGTACCAGTGTGCAATATTTAAGTTAAAGGATTTGACAGTAGAAATAAAAACTGCACACTAATATTTAGGCCATTTATGCAATATATCTTTAAATATTATCTTGAAGAAAATCTTGCCCTAGTAAAAGGATGCATTCTGTTATGCTTGTCATAAAATTATCAGCTGAGACTAAATTAAATAAACCCTAAAATATATATCTAATGGTTTAAAAATACATAGTTTTAATATTTTAATTACTGGTTATTCAAATAAAACAGGGTAATCATTAAAATTGTTCTAATCACTTTTCTAAATGTTAAATATAAAGGAAGTCTATGTTTAATTTCCCTGAGGTGACAAATACAATATTATTCTTGGGATGGCTCTTTGGCAGATCATATTGTACAAAGGATTTAAAAGCTGTATGTAGTTGGCTGACTATCTTGCTGCGTCTTCTGTTCTTGATCTCTCATCAAACTTCTTTTGACCTTTATTATTTCTCTTTAAGATCTCACTTCTCATCCCAATTCTTTGAGGGCCCTGTTTTCTGTCACTACATCTAAGACCTACTCTTCTTTTTTTCCTTGTTTCTTATTAATTCTCACCACACACACTATTTTCAGAATAAGGAAATCTGCAACTATTTAATCCATTATTTTTGGAGTTATACTGCATTTTAAATTAAACTAGAAAGTCAATAATGTGCAAAACCTGGCTTTTCTGCATGTATATTTTTTTTCCAAACTCTGTTAAATTATGTAATCGTCGTGATGATCAAACTGCACAGAGCAGTTTTGTTTTTAAACCAGTATTTTGGCCTTAAAAATGCAAACATTTAGAAGTTATGAAGACTTAGATAATCTTGGCTTTCTGCTGTCTGTTCTCTTTTTGTTTTTGAGGGTTTTGTTAGGATTTCCTTATATTTACAAAAAAGATGCTGAAACTTAACTGAGACATTACTTAAAAGAAATTAAGTCTTCATGTGATATCACCAGTCCTCCGAATCGATGCAGTATATTGTGTTCCACCAGTGTACCATGGAGCATGACTTAACACATTTTTTGAGAGACACATAACAGTATTCAGATTGTATATATTTACATAACATAATTGTAAAAGTCTGCTAATCTATTATATACATTTAAAATATTGCCTACCATAACACTCTGAAAATGCTGCCATGATTATGATGGCACACCTTTCAAGTGATGCTTTTGAAGGGAAGACATTTACTTGCAAGTTGGTAGCAGATGGAAAATATTCAAACAAGAAATTTCTCCTCATGGGAGAAAGGGTTTTTAAAGCTGAACAGTGGAACTAGCTCTAAATAGCCAGAAAGTTGAATGTTAGTCCTATTCTTCCATTTGCAAAGCTGGAACGGCCTTTGCTTCAATACTCTGGATGTTCCTATTTGATGTCGTACTTGCAGCAAAACACTAAACACTATTATAGTTAGTTGATCCCATTCTAACAAATATATGTGCAACTATGAGCAGAGAGACGTAGTGAAGATACCTAATTAACAAAGTAACCTAATAGGTGCACTAATCTCTTGCCTGCAGTCAGCTGCCCCTATGCTGAAGTGCCTGGTACAAAAGGGATACTGTAGTTTTTTCAAACGTGGAGTTTAGTAACTCAGAAGGAAGGAAACTCTAAAACAAAGAAAAATCTGAGAAATAGTTGCCCTCTCTCTTGCTTACATACTTCATTGTTTTGTGATGGTTGAACTCTCAAGTCAGAAAGACAAAATCAAAAATTTTATTTAGGCTGATATGACTAGATTGAGTATTCTTGAGATTTTTAGTATTTTAGACTTAGTACTTTCAAAGCAACTTAGAGAATTGTGATGCTCTTTCTGCTTTAAAATTCTGTTCTGATGTGTCTCCTTTAGAAAAATTACCTCTTTCAGCCATCTAACCTAGATGACAATCTGTGTTCTTTGCTATTTCTCCCCTATTTCCTCATGTATTCTCTATGTGTGGTTTTTTTCAACCATATGTTGTTTTTGATCATAAACTAGGTCCTAATCCTGTAAAAAAATTGCACTTTTAAGTACATGACACCTTCTTTTTCCCTGAGGATCTTAAATACCTGAAGAGCTGTTTGAGGGATTAGGGCATCAGAATACAAGTACTGCAAAGCGCTCTCCTTGGGTACTTAGTGAAAGGAGCTCTGACCCTGAAAGGAACTCTTCAGTAGTTTTTCAAGAAAAACTGTTAGAATAAGACCTAAATAGGCAAGGGCAAAATAGATCTATCTGTTTTTTCACTTATGGACAAAACTGCTCCAGCAGAAGCATTACTGCTACTGGTTAGATTTTCCTGTGATGTTCAGCACATGAAGTCAAACAAGAATTCAAGGAGCTCAAGTTTAGCTAAGTTATCAGTAATGCCTTTCTAAGCAGCGATCTTTTAATGTCACATTTGCATTGTTCTTTGTACTTTTCACAAATCCCTGATACAGTGGCAATTTTAGAGAATTTAAATTAAGGAATAGATACTTTGAATGAAAAAAAAAAAGAGGAAAACTTGTCACAAATACTTAAAGCATCAATGCTTAAACATTAATGATTAATAAAAGTAAGAAAATAAGATACACTTAAAATACTACATTTTTAGGATACAATATCAGAATTAACTTTCATTAAGCCAAGTTGTGGATGTTTTGCTATAAGCACAGCTTTTTCCTGAGGTCAATACATGTTTTCACATATCTGACTGGATGCAATGCAGTGGGAGAGCCTGAAGTAGTTGGAGACCATATGAAGAGCACCAGTTGCTATTCATTCACTTTGCTAGGGGATAGCTTCATCTTTGCTAGGATGATGCAGTGTGACTTGTCCTCTGCTGGTTGTCAAGCATGGCTCTTCTCCACTTGATGCGCTGGTTCTCCTGGTACTAGAGAAACTTTTTCAGTCTTTTCATTTGAGTGAATGTAAGGAGAACATTTTTCATGGACTCCTTCCTTCCTTAACTTCTTGAGCATCTGCTTAATAATTGGGCTGTTGGCTCTATCTGGATTAACTTGGGAAAAAATTCCAGTCTCACTTTGAATTTCTCTGTTTTATGGGTTTAAATATATATATATTTAAATATATATACCTAACTGTATTTTAGAGATTTTGTGGTTCAAAATAATGCTTTGCTTTAGAGCTGGTCCTCATATTTTTAGGACAAAGGCTAAAACCTCAGACATTTTAATAGCAGTTAATACTTTATGCATATGGTTGATATTGCTGTGGTGCATTTTATGACCTTTGAAGGTGTTGGCTGCTAGCATAGATTTCAGTAATAGTGCCTAGCAATTCTTATAGTGCATGTTGTTGCAGTCTTTGCTTTCTGAGCTTTGGTAGTGTCAGTATTATGCTTTAAAAAGGTGCGTAAGCGGACAAATTCTTTCCTTTGCATTCATGACTACCTTCGCTCAGATTAGCAGGAGCAATTAATTCATATTTCACACTAGAATTTAACGCATCAGGTAGTGTATTTTAGCTGATGACAGGTAGCTCTTTTCTGTGTCATGGTCTTATGTTTGCAATTAAGTTCTACAGCTAGTTTGCTAACTAAAATAGCTGAAAATTCAAACAGTTTATACTCACATTTGGTTAGTGCATTTTGGAGAACAGATGAAGTTCAAGCTGTGAACTTACTGCCTCTTACTGCTTATGAAAGGCAAATTGAGGATATATCCTCACAGTGAGGAGTCCTCCTGCTGTCCTCAATAGGTCTCTTTCTTTTGTTGTCTCTGAGAAGCTTTTTATGAGTTATGGGGAATGCCTACAAGGCAAATTGCCATTAATGGAAAATTATTGGGAAAGTGTTGACTGCACAAATTCACCTTCATTGCTTCATACCTTCACTGATTCCTACTTTCCCACATGCCAACTCAAAGTAGTCTAAGTAATGAGCTGAAATCCAGGACAATAAACAGATTTTCTATAAATATTTCTGTTCTATAATATTTTCTCTAGGACAAAATCATCTGAAATTACAATTTACCCTTGTAATTAAGTGATACAAATCTTAGTGTTAGGAAATAATACATTTTAATATAGTGTGTATTTTATATGAGCAGAAATGATTACAGATTCAAGTTAGGAAAGGTAGTATAATATTATTATATGGCTTAGTCTTAAGAATTATATTTCACATTCCTTTGGCATGCTGCACCACTTAATGAGCTTTTTTTTTTTGGAGCACTAAAATGATAATTTGGGTGCTTATCTGAATTTATCTTATCTTTGAACTTTCTGAAGTTCACCCATCACTATAATCATCCTTCTGGTCTTAAGCATGTTGCCTTTGGTATTTCAGCTATGATAGTGAAAATATTCTAGGTAGATGCTTTTTGGATCTAAACTGTAAGCCACAATTCAAGTTAATTATTTAAATATGCTATTCTGGCAAATGCTCATCAAGAGGTGCAGCATATCTCATAAATGCTGAAGGAATTTAAATCCTAATTAAGATTTATTTTTTTAAAATGCTTTCCCTCCATTATTATAGTTTAGTACGTGTCGTGATTGTATTTCCCATCTTATTTTTTTAATATTATGGGCCAAAATACTAGGTTTTATTTGAGGCTTTTATTAGTGTTTGAAATGTTAAGAACAGCACAAGTGGATCTTTGCTCATATTACTGAGTTTTTGTGCTGTACTGTTACCATTTTGTGATGATTATGGTATAGGATGCTTAGATATTACCTAATTTGAAATGCTTATATGTAACTCTGCATGACATGACAGAAAGAGGCTCCATCATTGATAACACATAGGCAAAAAGAAGATAATTTGATTTGCTGTTTTTTTTCTCTAGATGGGTTCAGCTTTGTTTAATTTACTGCAGATACAAGCATCCGAATTCCAAACTGAAGTCATGGAGCCCTAAGATACACCGTTACAGGTTGTCATCTATCTTGTCTTGATTTTGTGAAAGGCTTCAGCTTCAGTTTATGTTTCCTCGATTTTTGAAATACTTTCCCTTGTTTCCCTTAAAAAATAATAGTTTTTAAATCCACACGCTCAGAGGCTGACTTAGGGGTCATTGATTAGTTTTCACATTATTCTTTGTTTTCTTAGGTTTGGTAAATTGTTCGCACAAATTTGATGTTGGAAAAGGATAACCTCATGCAGGAACCCCTGGTCTGACCTTTCTAGGGCAATGCTTTATATGTTTTTTCAGATCAAATTTTTCTGATAGGATAGTGTTAGTAAGAAAAAAACTTAAGTCAATAACTGTGAACCTTAGGTAGTACCAGACATAGAATTGATCTGGAGAAGAGAAAACTTTATGTACCCTAATAAAATCATCTGAAAATAAAAAGCCATGCAGCTATATATTCAGTATATTTCCATTTTCATTTAATAGAGTAACAGTACAGATGGATTTTTCCCTTTTATTTTTTTCTTTTAAGATGGCTGCCTTGTTTTCAAATAGCTATTAATGTTATTTTTCATTTCATGTACAGGGTGATGGAGACCATCCTTCAAATTCTACTCTTTCCTTTAAATGCAATACAGCAGGGGGAAGTAAATTATCTTTTTAGTAAGAGTAATTAAATTTAAATGAAATGCTAAAAATACTTCTTGTTTTGTTTTTACTATAAATTATTTCTACAAAACGATACATTGTGTTATTTTGTTTAATAAATCCTCAGAGTTTCCCATAGTTTTCTGTAAATAAATATTCTGTTGATTTGGGGTCATCATGGACTCCTTTCCAATTTAAGCAGAGATTTTTGTTTAATTATTAATAGTATGATATAGCCCATAGTAATTTTACATTGCTTTCATTTTGCCTTTAGGATTTTACTGATGCAAACTCTTTCTGAAATTAATGGCAGAATAAGGATTACCAGGACATAATAATACATAGTTTTTATATACTGTTTTTAATCCTGTTTCCCAAAGCAATTCAGGTATAAGGAAAATATTTTCCTCATTTTATGAAGTAGGGAGGTGAGCTGACTCGCCTAAAATCAACCTGCAAGCAAATGGATCAATAAGAGTTTTAGAGTGCTGTATCCATTAATTCACATTGGTTGGTTGATTTCTACTTTGAAATTACAAAGTTTGGGACACATTAATTATGGAAGAGAATTTGGAATAGTGTAGTGCTGCAAAGCAGCTTGAGTACACAGAAAGAATCTTTCCTATTGACAAGAAAATGCTAAATACTCTTCCTGGCAATGAAATACATGCTTTCGTTATTATTTCCCCTCTTATGTTAAAGTATAAATGATGTACTTCTGTAGGTGTAGAAATTTCTATAGAAAGTGAAATTCTGTAAGTAATCCCTGGAACATGAACCAGAATTCTGGATTCAAATCACCCTGAAATATAAATGTTTTCAAACTCCAGACTGTGATTTAGTTCTGACACTTTGCTTGTGCTTTTACACTGGACTGATTGAAATCTTCGTTACCCAATGCACTTAAATTTGGAGCTTTTCAGAGCATTGATACAAATTTTGCAATGAAAGCACAGTTATTAATTTAAACATGTGAACTTGATTAAATGCAAAATGAACAGTGGGGTCACAAGCAGAATTTTATCATAGTCTGACACTTTCAAATACAGTATGACAATATAAACCACGTATGAAGTAAATGAGCAAGAAAATTATATTAAAAACATGTAAGACAGGATTATGATAGAAGTACCTCATATGGTGTTTAAAGGAAAACAATTTTAGATTTTTCACTGGGAAATCAATACTAGATTGCAATTAGGATTTTTGATTGTTTTAGATCTTAAGGTTTAAATTTAGAGATGAATTTTGAAGCAACTTAATGATTATAAAATTTATAAGTTTAGAGAGTTTTCATTAGTGTTTGTGACATCTTCTGTGCTTTCCCTATTCTGTGTGATTTTCTAAATCATATATACTTTTTGTGAATGTGTTTCTATGTGAAAATGCTGTCATCTGAGTGGCAAAAGTGTTTTACGCAGATATTTAAATGCTTCTAATGTTTCAGTACTTAAGTGAACAATAAATTGTAACTTGAAAAGTAAAATGGGTTCTACATTGACTTCAGCTAGGCTTTTAGACATGGCAATTTTTCTATGAAAAAGAGGCTCAAGAATATAAATTAATTTAATATATAATTCTCTTTTGTAGAGCTATCAGCCAAATAGAAGTTGGTGCATCATTTAATATAACTAAATTAACTTAGACCATATTGTTAAAAATGGGATGGAAACTCCAAAAAGTGTCAGAAATCATTCTTCATTATTTCAGACTATTCAAATATGGTGTGTCTTTTAACAGATTTTTTTTAAAGAAATCCAACTTCTATCGATAGCGTAACAAAATGTACTGTCACAATATTGACACCGATACAATGCTCCTGCTGATTTTAAACTTAGAACAGAATTTTGCATGCAAGTCTCCCTCTAAAACATCATTATTCAAGAAAAGCTTGTACTTTTGAACTGTTGGTGCAGCTACTAGCGAACATGTATAAATGCATTTATATACGCAGTACAATGCAAGAAATGTGAATCTTAGCCTATGATTTAAAGTTTCAACTGTTGAGATGTATAGAAGATAGACAAGGTACCAGATACATATTCATTTCCTCAGAGAAACAAATAATATTATTGGGGGAATCTAATAGCTTTATTTCACTCGTAGTGTCTTCTCCATTTTGCTCTTTGTGCAAAGATTCAATAACAGAATCTATATGAGAATCACTTATGATTTTTGATATATGATTTCAAGCAACTGTTCAATAAAATGTGATAGTAGTGACTATCATAGTATCATTTTAAAAAATTCTCTGAGTATTTGTCTTTCAAATTTACAAAAATACTTTGAAAATAGAAAATATGTATAAGCAAGTTGTGAACTTTTTATACAGATCTCAGAATAACGTAACAAAGATTATTGTGCAAGAAAGTTGTTATAAAAACAAATAATCTTTGATTCCATTCTGCAAACACAATCCAATCCAAGGGCAACTGAAAAGACTAGGAAGATTTCCAAAGTGCTCAGCCAACTTTGGAACATGTCCCACATTATGAGTTTCAGTCTTTTTAACAGATAGTTAAAACAGATAGTTTTAACAGTGAACCACTAATGTCAATAAAACTGTCTTAATTTAGATGAGTAACTGTGCAAAAATAAATTAGAAAATATTGTAGGAAAAAAAGATTATTTGGAGAACTGTATTTATTTAATACTGACAGTATAAGGAATTAGGGTATTTAAATCATCTATGAAATATCGCCTACACATCTAAAAAGCCTAAAGGAAATATTTTGGTATGTAGCTCAATAATGCTAAATATACATGCTCTGTTTTAGCACATGTTACAGAAGAGTGTGAGTAGTCAGAGCTCAGAAACTTCTTAGTTTAACTAATGGAAACAAAATAAATGTTGCTGTTTCATATTTGAGAATTATTAGTTTCCTTTTAACGTGGAATTTTGAGGTGGATAAGTACAGAAAGGGAGATACTCTAGGACATCTGAAGTCCGCTTTTAAAACAGCATGAAAATATACAAAGCACATTATTAGATTGATCAAAAAAAAAAAAAAAGCCCAACCCACAACCTATGACAAAACACTTCCATGGAAGCTGTGAAAACACATTTCATAGTCTACAATTTGATACTTCCAGAATTTTTGTGGAAAAATATTCTTAGTTAAAATATGGTGGCTTTGAAATAGATGCAAAATGTTTTGCAGCCCTCTATGTATTTATTTCTCTAACTCTTTTTCTTATTGTCTCTGTTCAAAACAAATTTGTGTATACATGCATTTGTATGAAAATTGGAAACAATTTTAGGCTGTTACTCTGAACAACTTGCTTCTGCCTTCTTTCCTAGGAAGTGTGTAGAGAGCTCTGGTGTCTCAGCAAAAGTAACCGCTGTGTTACCAACAGCATTCCAGCAGCTGAAGGTACTCTTTGCCAAACAGGGAGCATAGAGAAGGGGGTGAGTACATTCTAAGCCAGACTCAAAAAAAAAAAAGTTTTTTTTTTTTTTTGAGTAATTGCTTAAAAATTTTATTACTTTCATCTTTGTTAAATTTTATAGCACTCTCCTATAAAGGACTGTTGTAATTCTAGATCTGTAATGGACTTTTGAAAAAGGTCTGATATCTGCTATTTTATTAGAAGGTAAAAGAATCTTTATTTCTTCAGATTTAAGCAGAATCATATACGCATATTAAAAAATCCATAATAAAATGATTTCTTAAAAAGCCATATTTCTCAGTGACCAATCTGTTTTGACTTCTAGCTGTAAAGGACTTTGGTATGCAGTCTGAGATCTAAGTACAGAAAGTCAATATGGGAGTGGATAAGCTTTTTTTTTTTTCTTTAATAAAAGTTGTATATATATCTGTCCAGACATATGAATTGTGATTTTAAAAGGTTAAATGTATCTCAGTAGTTTAGGAAGGAGAACTTAAAATTATTTCCACACTAAGAAAACTAAAAAGACTAAGAGAGTAGAATATATGCAGATCAAGTAAATTCCTGTGTCCATTTGCTAAGATAGTACAATACCTCTTATACAGATTTGTTCAAAGGGACAAGATGACAAGAACTTACTATATAAAACAATTTCCAGTAATTCTCTTGAGAATTGCTACATCCGTCCTTAAGATTTACTGCTCCAGACTGCTTTTCCCCCCGCCTCCAACAATGACTACTGTCATCTATTCTGTGTTCTGACTCTTGCCATTCTAGCTGGGTTAGTTTCCACAGAGATTACACTGCATTTTAACTTGCAATCTGATGTTTAGATAAAGAGAATGAAAGTTTTTGGGCAGCTGTCGCAGTTTATTAATCCTTGCTGACAGCTTCATTCAGAGCCCTTGACCTAGTGCCATTCTGATGGCTTTTCCATGCTGAGTTTGGAAATATTGGTAAACCATGTTAAATAAAATGACCCCTTCAGCAAATTTAAAAATGTAGTGCTTATAGTTAGCCAATAAAAATAGAGACCTTCATATTTTAACAAAACTGTTACCTTTTATTAGAGTAATAGAAAATGCAAGGAGACTTATTCTTAAATCAACAGTCTAGGTTTATTTTGGAATCACCACTCCTTGTCAATGACAAGGAGCAATTTACTTCAATTTACTACAATACAAAATTCAAGATGCTTTAAGACACTGTTGCTGTGTCCAGTTTCCAGAGGCTTTAATCACTTCGTTTTATACAAAACATCTCTTCCAGTCATCAGTGTCTTACTCCATCATTAGATACTAGAGAAAGAGAAGGGAGAGAATTGGTATTGTTTTACAAGCATAAACTGACCATCCCTTTAAACAGCAGAGAATTGTATCTATAAATTGTGACTTCAAAGGTTCTTTCCAAATTAATAGTTCCTGATAGAAAAAAAAAAAATCAAAACATAAAACACAAGTTCTTTCCGAATATGTAGTTCTCTTTACCACATGCTAAAGAGAAAATAATAGCTCACAATTCTATAACACTTTATTATTACAGTAATAATAACATTTATATTGCAGTCATGTCTATAAGCCACAACCAAATTATGGCTTATTTTGCTGGACTTTGTCCAAATATATAATAAATGGAGCATTCCCTGCTCCAAAAGCCTAACAAGATCCTAGAGTACTTTATCATATTTGTCAGATCCGTGTCTGCTTTAGTTACACTGATGTAAATTCTGTGTAACCATTAACTCAGATTTAAACAAAATTTGATGCAATATCTTATAGGCAAAGTTAGGAGGATTTCTGTAATTAAAATTGCCTAACACTTTATTCTAAGACCTTCTGTTCAGTTACTTATATAAACCTGCAAAACTTTACCTCTTTGGGTTGAAATTTTCCATAGTAGATTTCTGAACAGGCCTGAAAGTTTTCAGAGTGTTTTCCATAAAAAGTTATTCAGCTGTTTCTGCATGCAAGGAAGAAGAATAGTGTGTTGTTTTGCTACTGACAGAACCTGTACGATCTGTCACATTTTGAAGTTTTAATACCTTCATGCTTTGATGAAAGCGCTTATGTATTAGCTGAGGTCAGAAAGGTTCCCCTTTTTTCCTATTCCTGTAATAATCAGTTCAAAAACAGATGCGTCTCCCCTAGACATATACCCTTGCAGATGAATTGTGAAAGTGAACTAGCTGGTACATTAAAGACACTGCTCAGGAGATGTTGCAAATAAAACAAGGAGAGGAAACTGATAGAAATGTGTATTTTTGTCTTTAAACTTGAAGTAATAAAAAATAACCTTTTATAGCATCATCAGTCCCTATGTGTGCCAGGGCTATAAACAAGTGGCAAATGTGCAAAAAGTGAAAACACAGCATGCCATGCTGAAAGAAAAATTTATAAAGCTGGATTATCTGGTGGTTAAAATTCAAGGTTTTTTTGGACATCAAATTTCCTAGCAAAATAATTGTAGAAGCACTGATTGAAAATCCATATCATTATAAATCTCTTAGTTTGGTTAAAGACTGCTCACATTATTTACAGAGGTAAAACTTTGTGCACGTTTTATATGCCAGTATTTTAATGCATTGCCCCAGTCTTTCTAATTGAATTAACTGAGAGTTACTTCTCAGTTGGAGAAAAGAATAAGGTTTCATTTCTAAAACTTTCATGAAGAGTTGTTCTTTTCAAAATAGATGACATCATCTCTTTTTCATGTACCAGTTACTCAGTAGTCCCTACCTCATTCCTGACAGCAGGTGGGGTTGCTATTATTCATGGAGGAAACATACTACTTTTGGCCATTTTGAATTACTCTGGAAGAGATTTTATGCATTACTAGTCTCTGCTGAAAGATTAACTTTCAGTTAAAAAATATCAGGCAGCATGAGCAGTAAGTCATCAGAATTAATTTCAGTGGAGGAGAAAAATCAGCATTGAAGGAGAGGTAATATGGGAAGTATAAGACATGAATATTTGGGTGGTCGAGGAAATTGCAGGAATTTTATTCTGCTTTGGAAAATAAAGCCAATAAAACACACCAGACTTAGGCACATTCACAATGAGATAGAGGTGGGATTATTTGCATGTTCAATTCGCACATGTGATATTTTGAGAGTTAACTTTAAACTCTGAGTTTCCCTTCCAAGTTTATAAACTTGGGTTTTGAAGTGTTGATAGTATTTTTATAATGTACTTCTAATCCAAATTATTAGCATATATTTTTCTCTTAGCACCATTTTAATTTAGCAATTTTTAGCTTGTGATTCTAGCACTAGATAACTGTGTAATCCTGTGGCCTCATTAATAAAGTGCTGTAAAGGGTTTATTGTCTTCAGTGAACGTAATCATTGCCACTTTATAATAATTATTTGATATCACTGTAATGAAGAAATAAACAGAAAAAAATGATGTCTCATATATAATTCACATAAATACCATTTTCCCCATTGTAATTGTGCCATTAGAGGCATTGAAAAACACTGCCATATATGGATATATTTACACATGTGGATCTAACTCAAAATACATGAGTTTACTTTATGGACTGCATTATGTGCTGTACAGACATTCTGTAATAGTCTAGATTTAAGAGACACTCCATACAAGGGTTATGTTCCTCTAACAGGTACTCATTTATTGGCATAAACCTTAGAGTTGGAAATTTATTGCAAGTGCAAGAAAGATGAGCAGTCATTTCCTAAGTAAAACTCCATGAAACATTGTGTCCATGATGGGTTTATTGATTTGTTTTGCTTTTTTCTTTAAGAAAGGCAATGCATTTTGAACTTGAAATTTAAATTTTCTGCTTTGCATATTTTCTGTAGGCACACATTAATCCTCCCTTTTATTTCTCTAGCTGTTAGAGGATGAGATGTTATAGACAGAAATTTGCTGGGTTGCAATAACTGTCCTTTAAAATAGTTTCAGGAATAGCATGTACAGACAATGAAGTAGTCATGGGGGGGTAAAAATGTTTTGAGAGAAGAAAAAATGTGATTAGAAAAAATAGGAAATCCTTGACTAGCACAGTATAATCATTGTTCATGTCAAACTGCTATTTTTTTTCTGAATAATAGCAGAAGGTTTGTCGCTTTCGCTCCGCGACTAAGTCGGGATGGACAGGGATGCATGCTATACGTAAGCCTTTATTGATCAAGCAGGTACAGTACTTGAGACCCCACAGTCGCACGTGCACATGCGTGTGCGCTCTCCCCCTCCCGAGTCCTTCTTTTATATCCTTCATCCTCATTATGGCTACATGTTGATTTGTGATTGGCTGTTCCGTTTAGTTCCTCTTCATTGGCAACTTCCATGTCTTCACTTCCTCTTTGTTGGCAACTTCCACATCTTCAATTCCTTTAAGTTGTTTACTTGCTTCAGTCCGGGTTTTTTCAATCTTATTCAAGGACATGGTAACTTGAGAAGATCCTGGCTCTCAGACAAGCTGAAGGCCGTCCGACCATCTCCCAGTCCCCACATCTCCCACTTTTTGTTTTTCTACGATAAATGCCGTGTTTACCATCCGCTGCAGGGCCCTTTGCAGAGAGGATAGCAAAAAATGCAGCATCACTAATACCACTAACACCATTCCCATCACAGTCGCCAATCGTTGAGCCATCCGGTCCCTTATTTGCTGAAGCCTCCTATGTATGGATACGGAATGCTCACTGAGATTCATACAGCACATCCCATCAAAGTCTTCGCACCCATGCCCTTAAACTAACAGCAAAAAGTCTATGGCAGCCCTATTTTGTAGTGTGGCATGTAGAACCGAATCTACATTAGCTAGTAAGCCTGCTAAAGCAAGCGTTGTTGCGTTTGTTTGTTTAGCAAGCCAACATCCTAGTTTTGCAAGCTTTTTATGAGCAGCAGCCTTGAGCAGCAGCCATACAGTTGCTTCTTCTTCTTGTGTGCTGAAGAACACCTGCACTGCCGTCCTTGAGGTTGGTTACCTACTAATGAGGCATCCTGTACTGCTGTCCTTGAAGCAGGCCTCCACATCTCCCCCTTCTTTATTTAACAA